GGCACTGGAAGAAGAACATTTTATGCTTTCAGCACTCGAGGATTTTTATGCAGAAGAGAAAACAAAAAGAGGTCATAATTTCATTCATAATTTATATATGTGGATATTCCAGAAAGTACTATATGAAAAGGTTTTGCCATTTTATATAGAGAAGGGGTGGAAAATGAAGTTAGGAAAATGCAGGTATTGCAAAAATTTGTAAACTTTCCACTCATAACAATGGAATGTATCTTATTTATTAGATATTTATTTTGCATCTGAATTGTTGGGATGTTACTGCATATCCTCTTTAATTGCTACTGTGTCTTAGGGTAGCTACAGTTCACTTGGTTTATGACAAAACTCCTTCTCTCACTTGGACTTTGTAAGTGGATTGTGTCTAAGTCATCCCTGAGTGATCTGACTTTCTTCACATGAGTAAAAATTGGGTGAAATAATTTGGATAGGCTACAAAAACATAACTTAATTTTTAGAAGACATAGTGAGGACCTTAGTGCCACTGTGGAACACCAAACAAAATGGCTTGAATCAAACCTTCATCTGAAAGTAAAAACTTATTTATTACACTACAGCTCAAAGAAGAGGTTTAGACATTTCAAAACCCCTTCTTTATTTTTTATTTAATGTAATAAAAGGCAACTATCTTACTTTTTAGGCTAATTTGATGTGTTGAGAAGCTTTTAAAATATTATATTAAATTTATAATATCATAATTTCTAGTGGGAAAAAAAATCCCAGTTTTTACCAGCTCTAATGGCCTCTGGAGATATTCAGGCTGATGGGGTTTGTGATGCCAAATAGCTGTAGATGAAAATATGATAAACAGTTGACAATAATTAAATAATATAAGTGTAAAACCACAAATCTGAGACAAGCACATAATTGTCATGGTACTATTTCATATGATTTTTATGTGATATTAAATACCATTAAATTGTAATACTCTTAGCAAAGCTAAAACAGGAACATTCTAATCTGCATATTTATATTTCAGACAGTAAAGTAATAAAATAACACAGTATTAAGTTATCATGAACAATGTTCTGAAGATGTTCTCTTTTTTAAATGTGAAACTGACTAGCTGAAAATAAGCTAATTTATTGAGTTCACCCAGAAATTTCAGAAATTCACAGAAATACAATTCTAGCCTCTTTTTTGTATGTATAAATTATCTCACAGCAAGATGTGAAATGTTGAAGTGTACCTGTAATTAAACATATTTGCTGAAAAACTCTAAATCTGCAGTTTATTTGCAAAAGCTTTATATACAAGTTCAATATTCAAAATTCAAGCTGCTTGATTAGGTCAGTAGTTGCATGTTTGTATCTCAGAAGCTTGATCCTTCATATCACAATTTTGATATGAATAATTCAGACTTTGATTTTTGCAAATACTCTTCAGTAATATGCTCAAAATTAATCAAATAGTATTGTTAGTACCTCTATTCAGCAGAATAGTTACAGAAAGAAAATAATACCCAGTTCAAATTACTAAAGTGTCTACATACCTTTCCAGTGAAAGGAAACCTGGTTGATAGACAGAATCTGACATAAAAGAACAAACTATTTACTTACTTAGCCTTTGAAGGAAGAATGATATTAACATCCTTGCAATATATTGAAATACCTTAAATGCATATGAGTAACATATGTTGCTACTCTTACATATTTTTTTTTTTAGCAAAACTCTTTGTTTATCTAAATTCAAAATATAAAAGTGAAGTATATTGACTTGTGGAGCTTGATATGTCAAGATTTATCTGCGTTATTTTGATCCCTAATTTGGAAGATAAAATTTTGCATTTTTCAGCCACTAAGCTATACACTAATATGGGAAACTGGTTACCCAAACATTTTTTTCCGTGCCTCAGAAAATACTAACAAAACAATTAAACCACTATTTCAATAGGAAATGCATTGTATACAGGTAATAAATATATGGAGCTTATCTTGTTATATCTTCACTGTCTGAGTTGCTTTCCTTTTACTGGCAAGCTCATAGAACTACAAAAGCCATGAAAACTCAATGCTAACTTAAAAGTGCAACCTCTGTTACTTTAATATTTTTATACTGAGTATCAAGGCATTGTTTACAGTAGATAATGAAATGGAGATGAGGCAGAAAACACACCTCTGAAAGACTTTCTACACAAAAGGATGAACACGTAGTTATTTGCACAAAGCATTAGAAAATACTGTGATATTTTATTATTAAAAATGCTGCTGAAAAGTTTATACATATGTGTCCAGCCATATATATTTTCTATCATTACTTAAGGCAAAAAAAACAAAAAAATTGCAAACAATAACAGAAGAAACCATTGAACCCTGTGTGCCTCTTAAGGACAAGAATATAAGCCTGGGAAAGTACTTTTGTTTTTCTTTAACAGTTCAAAGTATATTTTGATATCATTATTATAGAATTCTATGAAGACCCTATAAATCTGTTCCCTCTATAAATCATACATCAGTCCAGATGTATCAAATTATTAAATCAACTTGATTGTAATTACTTTTAAAAGCTAAATTCATTCACTTACAGGAACTTTTTTTACCCAAATGTCACAAGCCTGACACAGTACTGTACATATTGCTAGCAGAAGACAATTGGAAGTACTAAACAAATACTGTAATTCACATTACAAACATACCCAACTGATCATGATGCCAAGCATCATTACCTTTTTTTTTACTTTTTTTTTTTTACTTTTTTTTAAACCTTTTTTTAAGAGTTATGCACTGCTGCATCTCAGCTGAGGAATTACATAGCTGGTGGAAATGGCCTGGTATAGAGTCAGCATTAATATATTACATGATGGATCAGTGAAAAAAACCAAACATTTTTCCATTTTCTACTAATTTTACTTTGGGATTGCTACTTCATCACATTCCAACCTGAGCTCCCAGGTCAGATTTATAGCACATTTACTGCAGATAAAGGATATATCAGCCACATGTTTTATTTTTATCATGTCATTATTTTTTTATTTCTTTCCTTCAGAATTTGCTTTACTGCCTGCTACAACAAAGAGTTGTGAAGATAAATAGACCTCAGTGAATCACCTTGTCTTTGATTTTATTTGTAGGGGTGACTATTTCAAAGTATTTTATTAGAAAAGAAAAAGTGTAGAAAACAAGAATAGGTACAAGGCATCTTGTGTTAATTGTTATGGGACATATGATATCGATGCAGTTTAGCTATGAATTAATAATAGAAAATACATCTGGGAGAGTCATGTTCAAGTGCAGACCAATTTGTTCAAAGATCTTTGGTTACTATCTCTCAATGATGAAGTAACTTTCAAAGACAAAATATAAAGCAATCTTCATCTGCAAAAACTATTTTCTACCTTTCCACATTCAAATGAGTTTGAATCAAACTGATAAGTTACTTTGATAGCTCTGCTTGGCCCCTGTTTTTCTAGTGAAGGAAAGGCAGAAGCGAATAACCAACTAATTTACCTTTCCTGAGAGTGATGCTCTCTGGGATTTTCACTTTTGTTCAAATGCAGAACAGCTGAGGATTTCTCTGCTTCTCTCTCCATAATGCTCACTGACTGTGGGACTGTGCAATGAATCAGCAAATAAGAATTTTCTGACAGGTACACTCTCAAGCACAAAACAAGATACTGGGCTGAGAAGTTCTTTACACACTCATCACTCTGAACAGTTTGAAAAACAGACAGCCAATCAACCCTGCATTTCCCAACTTTCAAATTGTAGTTTTATTTTGTTTAGCAATGCTGAGGAGGTGCTTTCTCAGCTGAGATTCCACTGCAACTGCTGGTGAATATAGATAGTTTTCCTTAAAGAAGGCTGTCCAAAACACAGGCTTTCATTGCTTTTGTCAGGGCACAAAACTCTTTCTAAAGTATCACAATAACCAAGAACTACAAACTGGACTCCAAATATATATTATTGGATGTTTCTTGGTTCAGTTCAACAAGTTTAAAATAGTGATTATTTTCTTTTGCATTTTTTCTCTTTGTTTTCCAATCCATTGCTGCGTTGGAATTTAACAAAGGCTAACACAAAATTAAATTATAGAAAAAATGTTTCAGAAAAGAACAACAATCTCCTATGAATACTTTAACATGCACTAGTGTAACCTGTAAGAGAAAATACGCAGGTCACACAGACAACTGTATCCTCTGCATGACACCATGGCCTCATATAAATGAAACATGTTAGAAAAAACTCATGGTTTTTGTTAACCACTAGTAATTAAGAAGAAATTCCTCCTTTGGTCTTGGAGGAAACAGAGGTCATATGACTAATGTATATACACATAGGTCACAATCGAATGCACAATCTTTCTAAAAGCTCTTTTCAAACTGAAAACATCAATAAAAGCTGCTTCTTTTTTTGTTTGTTTGTTTTTAAACTCACAGCTATGTACATTTTTACAAAGTTTCTTTAAATATAGTTCAGGCTGGCAAGTCATCTCTTTGCACAGAACTATACGTATTTTTCTGCATAGTCAGTCCTCCTCTTTTTTTTTTTTTTTCATTTTTGTTTTTAATAATAAAATTCTATTTTCCCCGTCTGAATTACAGCTTCATATGCTGGGTAAAAGCCCATGGTGATGTCTTTGTTTATCAATGGCCATTCATGATATGGCACATAAAGAATCTTTTTTATAATTTTATTTATTAAAAAAAAAACCAAAACACCTGTACAGTCACTGGCTCTGTGTTCCAGAATACTCTGCTTTGCTTGTTACACTTAAAACACCATTTTAAATTACTTCTTCTGGCCTCAACTTTCAATCAAAGTGGCTGAGATCTAAAGCAGTATTGTAACAGCAATGTACACTTTTCACATTTCACAGGGTTTGTAGTTGATCTTTAACATCAGTGAGTTTCTGTGGGAAGGATCAGTAAGAAAATAATGACTGTCCTTCTCTTTTACTTATTTTTACTTTAGATTTTGACAAGGTGTTCAATGGATGGTATATAACTTTTTCCTCTTCTTTTTTTTCTTATTTTTTTTCTTTTTTTCTTTTTTTCTTTCTTCCAAGCGGCTTGTGAGGGTAGATGGGGAAGGGCTGAGCTATACCCTAGTGGTTGAATGTCCATGGGGCAAATTTGTACTGTTTTGTCCTCCACTGAAGGTGTTGAAAGTATGCAAAGGCTGCATTCCTGTTAATGTATTTGGAATCATGGTTATGGTGTTGGGTGTCATTAGCGGGATGTCATCTGGGGACCTTCTCAAAGTGAGTGTGTAGTCAGGAGGACAGGTGAGTCTCAGCGTGTCATGGGCCTGCAGCGATTCACACTCGTGGTCATGTTCTAGCTGCTTCATCTGCAAGGACATGATCTCTTCATTTTGTATGTGTGCTATGTCGTTGGTGGTGTTCCTCTGGGGGCTGGGGCGCCTGTGAGTCTCATGACGCCGCTTGTCCTTCTTGTAATACAATGCAGCAAAAGCTAAAATATTGAGGAACAGCAAGGAGGCCCCCACAGCAATGGTGACACTCAGCTCTGTGGAGTAATCTCTCTTGTTTTCTATCAGAACTGTCGTATCCTCTGGAGCTGTTTTATGGGTGTCCTTTGAATGTTTGGGATTGTTGGCGGGTGTCATTGCTGGGCGTTTGGTGGCTGGCCATAATTTCCCAGGAGAACGTCGGGTCACGTACGGAAATGAGGTCATGTCAGGAGGTGGGACTTTAGTTGTTGTGGAAACATACTGAAATATTTCATTCAGGTTGTGAAGGTGTGGTACAAGCTCCAACCAGAAAGCCACTTTTGTCGCTCGATAGTGATCACGAACTCGGGGTTTCAGGCCAATATGTAAATAAAGTTGGTCTTTAGGATTGTATTTGGACCAGGCCACTTCTTCAAAGCGGTTGGGTTTTGTGTGGATGAACTTTGTGTCCTGTGGAACAGGCTGGTTTGGATCTCTAAAACAAAAATGAAAACAGAAAATATTACAGTTATTAATCTTCCCACAAAAAAACCCAAAACAAAACAAAAGCAAACAAACACCAATCCCTCCCAATCTTCCAGTTAATAGTTTATATAATACCTGCAATAACCTAAAAGAAGAAGCTAAAAACCCTACCTAACTGAAGAATAGCAGTTAAAAAATAATCAAAATAAAATTACTTACTGTACAGAGCTTCTCAGATACCACAATATTTTTTTTTTTACATGAAAATGCAGAAATCATAGTGTTTCAGTTCCCAAAAGGTGATCTGGAATTCTGTGATTCAGTATCATTCTCCAAGGAGCGTGTCTTAGAGACACAGCATCTTAGAGAAGTACTAACTACCTCTTCCTGTAGTAAATGTGTAGATTCAACACTTCTCCAGGTTTGACACTAGCCCTCTCATTTAAGCTAGCACCAATACTGCTGTAAGTAGTAAATATGAACATCTAAGCCCTACAGCAATATGGGAAGTCCTTGTGAACACACAAAATCATAATGGCTGTGTATATTACAAGGAAAGAAACCTCTTCAAAACCTGAAGTAGCAGGGCTAATAAATGTACTTGGGAACCATTTCTGCTTGTTTTCCTTTATTGAGCTATTAGTCTTCCTGAGTAAAATATCTACTTGGGGAAAAAAAACCTTTGTCACACCTTTGTGTGACAAATCTTTCTATCATTTCCACTAGCAGATGACTCTTTGAATGTTCCATGTGATCATTGCTATGAAGTATTGTGTTTGGTGGCCAAAGGACAATGAGCCTTAACTGAGATGAGAAATATTTTAGCTGAGATCAACTAGTTTTATAGCACATAAGTAGTATTAGTAGAGTACATAAGAGTAGTACACAAGTTAGAAATAGTTTCAAAATCAGTAATTTTTTTTTATTTATTTACAGACAAACCAATGCCACAAAGAGCATTTAGACATGGTTAATGTATGCATATCATTATAAATTTAGTAAAATTTAAATAAATAGAATGAAAAAATACAGAAAGTTAAAATTACTAATATTAAGTTTAATAGAATATTGCACATTAGCTTGAATTGTCTTTTCTAGCAATGAATATTTTCTGTGACTTTGTGATATATTATACTGAGAGTACATAATTTATTTCCTGTGCGTTACTCAGAACTTCCCGTTCTCCTTTTTATTAATTCATATGCATTGGTTTATTTCCAAATGATTCTAATATTTTCCTTTTCTTCCAATATACAGTTATGTGTATTCTGGGAATACCAAACTGCATCACTACAGATTTTAAAGCATCTTTTTTCTTTTTCCATTTTCAAAAGCCCATGAGTCGAATAGCCTATTTAAGCATTGCTTTCCTGTACATAAAGAGCTATTTCTTAGTTCTTAAATGAGACAAGTAATTCAACTTTAATAATCTTATGATTCCTCTATTCTTTTTTTACCTGAAAGAATGTATCTTACCTTTTTGTGATAAAGTGTGATGATTATTTTTCTATATAATTTTGGTATTTTGGCTTACTTATGCTTATGGTTTTAGTGTTTGGGGTTGTTTTGGGTGATTTAGTGTGCTGATTTTTTTTTAAAATATTGACATATTAATCCTTCCCATTTTAATAAGATATGAAAAATACAAACTAAGGGTTCTGAAACTGTTACCATTTCTCTCTTTCTTTCTTTCTCCTTTCTTTCCTTCAGCCTCCTTTTCCCTCTCTTCCATCCTCTACTTCCATCTGTTATTTTTAACTATATTTATTGGGAGCAGCCAATTATGCTCCCACCTCCTCTAAACACAAGAGAGAAAATAACATTACATGAGTCTGGGTTTGTATTTGAATACTTGTTTACGTGGCTCTGTGTGGGCATGAAATTGTCCATGGAAGCAAGAAACAGAAAAAAATCAGCCATCCCTTTAGACAAGTAATTTCTTTGCTGAGAATATCAGAGCTCTACCATTGATATCAACTCTAGGGCTGATGATTTAAAAAATTAATAAAATGGTCTGAATATTCTCTCTGAATTTGGAAGATAGATATCTAAATTATTTTGGGGTTTTTTTTAGAAGAAACAGGAATAACCAAGTCCAGTCCTAAAGGATCTAATAACGGCCTTGGATCTTTGTTTTATAGACTAATGATAATTTGCCAAAAATGTTCAGTAGATATAAACAAGAGAATTTTTACTTTCCTTGGCCATCCTGCTATGTACACTGCAGAAAATTCATGAAGTTACAACTTACGACTTGTTCAGTTTTTTTCCTGGTATAGTTGGGCAGTTTATCCTACTATGAACCATTTTCCAATTTTATTGGCAATCATAAAACATAGATGTAGAGACAATCATTTCTCCTATCAAATCATCTGTTCAACAAAATTCTTGTTCTGTTCCTTTAATTTCAATTTTTTCCTTGCCTTTTTAAGACTCTCACAATTCCTTTGTGTTTCTAGATGTTCTTGAGGCTCAAGTGTGTAATTTCATAACAAAGGCTGCCAGGAAACCTTCCTTTAAAAATCCACTGCAATCATGATGCTAACAGTATAATCTGAACAATATATCTCCAGTTCTGTACTTCCTGCAGTATTGGCTCTCATAGGGAGGAGATTTCTTGTTTCCCAGTTTATCAGTTGGGAGGAAGGCTTTTTCTTTTTTTCATCTGACTATTATAACAAGATTGATGATTATTGTTATTTATTTTGCTCTCTCATTACTTATTTTTATCACCTTTAGAATTCAAACAGTTTGTTCATCAAATTCCATCATGAAGTACCTGTAAATTTTTTTTCCATATGACAGATCATATCTTCTCTAAGGTATATTTTTGTTAATGTGCAGAATTATCTCATTTCACCTGTCACTTTTTAACTCCCACTTTCAACCTGCACTAATTTTGCACAGCTTAAGATGTTTTTGTATATTGTCATTCAGTTCACGCCTCATGAGTTAGAGATGTAAAATCAAAGCATCATTTTTTTCCCAGGTGATATAAAGTAAATATGCCTGCAATGGATGTTGACTGAAGAGCAACACACACTCCTAATTACAAGGTAGATTAGTAGCTGACCTGGAGGGCAAACGAAGGAACAGGGTATTTCATATCTGATGATATTTTCATGGGAAGAATGGTGAATTAAGTTGACTCATATCCCAAATTCCTTATAAGATGGGGAAACACCATTTGTGTTTAACTACTTCAGCCACAGCATTGACTACCACTCTGAATAATGGAACTATTACATTAATATATTTGAAATGTTTTAATTTTTGTGTCTTTCTCTATCTTCACTGCGGAGTGAAATGTTTTCACAGTTATATAATCTTTGTCTCCAACACTCTGAAATGCCCTTAGATACTTTATTTTCTTTCAGTAGTACTTTCCTCTGTATGATGAAAAAAAAATGGAAGTGAGAGAAAAACTGGCTTTTCTTCATTCTTCTGTTGTTTCTTTTCATGCTGCCACAATACTAATAATGGCACGGCCACTCCTGTTAGAAGGACTGGTACACAGGCATATTTTCCCTTACCTCCTTTCCTCAGTTATCACCAGGTCCCACTGTTGCCACATTCCCTGTCAGCTGAAGACTAACAAGTTAAGAACTCCTTATAAGAACTAAGGACCACAAACCATAACTACACTGTTTCGTCTGACTAACTCAGATTTGCCATTGGAGACAGTTATTTCTTCAACATCAAAATTAAATGCAACAGCCTTGTTCATTGACAATTGATTTGAAACTGCACTTTAATAATTGCAAGTTTAATCATGTCTTCTATTAGAGAACCAAACTGCATACAAAATGCAGACATTCTTAATAACTCAAGTTTCTGCTTCAGTATCAAAGGTAGCAAAATAATTCTGGAGTATTTATCTGAAATACAAAGAAAACAAGGATATATCCTCTGGTCCTTTATCTTTCCCAATACCAACACAGGCAGAGCTGGATGAAACAAGAGCAAAAGCAGAGTACTGTAATTCCTCAAAACCAGGGAAATTTTAAGAAACCTAATAGATACTTCTAATGAGAGCATAGCCTTGTATCTACTCTGTGAACCTTCAAATCCTTCTTTACAAGAGCATAGCTGGCAGAGCATCTGTGAAGGACTGGCACACAACCCCTCATGCTGCTCGTTCTCCCCCAGCAAGAGAGGTAACACGGCCCTAACAGAACACTTGGCATATAAAATTACCATTACAGTTAGGACAGCACTACTGGCAGCAGACTGAAGGTCCAAGTGCACCTCTCAATAAGCTCTCACATATAACTGTGTGCATTGAGGAATTCAAAACTGTATTTTTATGTTATTTTTGTATCCTAAATGTAGTATCTCAAACTTACCCTGTAACAAATTGTTTTCCTATTTCTAAGGCATGTTGGAAACATAATTTTGAAAAGGCCGAATGAAAAACTCTTAATAATAATCATAATAAAGAAATGAGTCATAGCTAGGTAGAGAATGGAGGATTAGAAAAATGCAGCTTCCAGGCATTCATTTCAAGTACAAACTATTTGCCATTAAACACTTTAATTGTCACCTCCTATTTGCTAGCTTCAGTAATCGACTTCTGAGTTAAAGACAATAAAAGCGCTGTGCCCTGTGTTGTGTCTTTCACCTACTGATTTTACAAGATTGACCTGCCCTCCAAGCACAGCTTTGGCAGTAGGCCCATTAAACAATGTGTCCTTTTTAGCAACGGATGGCCTGTCATTAAAAGCCTAACAAAGTCTATCTGAATGATGCACCACCTGAGCCATAATTATACAATAAGTACCTGGATGCAGCCTCTGTGTGAGAGTCATAGAGATTGGAGAAGTCTCAAACATATTAAAAATAAATAAATATATCTGCAGTTTTAATGTCCAAAGCTTACCTACAGGGAAATGCCAAATAATAAAATCTTTCAGTTAAAATATTTTTTATGTGTTGCCATGGGTACAAACACAAAGCAAGACAAGTTCTATCATAATAAAGATGGGAAATGATCAATAAAAAATAGGGGGGGGGGGGCGGGGAGGAAAAACCAAAGCAGAGCCTCCAGCAATGCAGTCTTGAACTGTATCACACATCTTGAGAATTGAAGGACCTGAGTGGGTACAGAGATTCCAGATTGCAAGTGAATGCGCAGAGTAGAGATCAGTTACTCCAGAGGTCCCATTGCTCTAGGCTTGAGGTGCTACAACCTTTGTCTTTCTGTTTCAGGAACCAGAGGTGCAGAACAAATGTAATCTTAAAATATTATTTGCCTCCAAGTATTCTCTTGTACTATTCAGAACAATTAATCATTGTTCACCCAAACAAAGAAAATACCCCATCAAGGTAATATGTATTTTGTTGCTCTTTTCCTTTCCTTTGAAAACTGAAATTTTACAGCTAGAGGTCATTTCTAATGACACATCTTTCAGACTGCCTGTGAGGGAGTGAGTCTGTAATAGAATATATACCTCATTCCTGTCTCATCAGCAACAGGAAAGTTTCAGAAATTACTAATGTCTCTCCCAAAGCACCTGGTTTTGCCTTTAGGCATAATATGACAATGGCTTTATAACCAGAGAACTGGGTATAGCCTGCTGAAATTAGTTTTCAAGCAGCAACAGCTGGAATGTGCTTGAAATTATGAGTAATGGTTGCAGCTGTGACTGTGAGAAGTTCCTGTCAGCCTTAAAAACTGCTTAAATACAACTTTTTAGTCTGCAGGGAATAGTCATAAAGTAATTGTAAGCAATAGTGAGACTGTGGAGATCTTGCATCTCTATAATAATTTCAATGAGATATATTTGTAAGGATCGGAAATCCTCTATGTATGTATGGCATTTCATCTACCAAAATTACAACAAACTGATGGTATCATCATCTCTGAGCATGTGGTACAGCCATCATGCAGCATGGTCCGTCCATAAACCAAGATTTTATCACAAATTTTGCCCATCTTAGTACTGATGACTTCTTGTTGCCAAATACATCTAAATATTTACAAAGTTCATTCACCTTTGTTGCTGAACTCCAAGATTTCTGCATGCTGTTCTACCTGTTTGTCTGATATGCAGTGCAACAAAAGATTTTTTTCCTTGTAAATTGACCTGAAGCATTTGATTGGGTTTTACTCAATTTATGCTTGAGGTGCTTGTTAAGACTGCAAAATCTCTCTCCCTTGAACGTCATTTAGATTCATGGAAGGCTACAAGGGCAGCTAAAGCCTCTGAGTGCTTCACAATAGGCATCTGAGTTTTTCTTATATAGCTGCACACCATTCACTGCAGTGCAGTAAAGCTGCAGTTTCCAGAGCCCAATCCTGCCATTAAACATTCAGTGGAATGATTTACAGCCCCTTTGTGCCACAAGTATCTTTGTTTTAATTCAGTACTGAAGACTCAAGGTTAACAAAAAAAGCCCTTGCCGCTGAAGTAAAACACTGCAATACTCTTTAAAGGAATGTTATAGGAAGAGAACAGAATTTATTAATATTGCTCGCAGATTAGGCTGCTTTGAGGGTTGTTTCCTTGATGTTTACAGCTCTATTTCAGCAAAATATTGATGTCTTTGTTTTGTTTCGTAAGCAGAATTAATGTAATTTTTTAACCTTCTCAAAGTAAAATTTATATCTGAGTCTCTTCTTCATTCCAGTCAAGTACTTATTATTGCCATTATAGCCCTCAGAGGGAAAAAATTTTCCAGTGTCTGCCTTTCTGTTCTAATTCCTCCCTGACTCCTCATCCCTGTGAAGGTCACTGAAAAACAAGAACTTCCTTTCTTTTATACCAGATAAGTGCTATCTGCCTGACAGTTCCTTCTTCAAGTAGGAGACATGTTGCCTCTGATTTTTCAGTATCTTAGTGAACCACCTTTTCTCTGAGACATGCTTTTTGTCTTAGTAATTGTCCTATTTTTTGAACCAAAAATACAGTGTGTTATTATTCTCATTGAATTACTGAAAGAAAATAGTTTGAGGGAACACACTAATTAAAAATCTATTAAATATGAATAAGCCTCAATTACCTCCTATCTTAACACAAATATTTCTATACTACTACTTCAAAATCAGATTTTGAGGCCATTGGAATGGGATCCTGACAATTTTAGAAGTATGCTATCAACAAAATGAATGCTAGGGGTCACACTTACCCAGTTTTGGCAAAGTTAGTCCAGTATGTCATAACCACTGCACTGAGCATGACATCATTCTTGGAAAAGTTGCAGTTGAACAGTTCTGTGGGACCAATCATAGGAATCCCAAACACATAAGGGACTTCATCACCATGAGCTGAATCAGCCCAGCTGGGTTTCATTTCACTTTGGCAGTGGTGATAAAATGCATAGAAATATGTTGGAGATCCATACTGGGCATGCAGGTCAGCCGTGGCAACAGCTGGAGCAACCCACTGGTGGTCTGTGAAAAGAGCAACCAGGGTCTTCCTCCTCGTTTCAGGGTTTTCTTTGTCTGCCCAGTCAGTGTACATGAATTTAATGGTCTCTCGCAGTGTGTCCTTCCCTTCTGGATAACCATACAGATTGTCCACAAAATTGGAGACGGAAAAGTCAAAATCATTGGGAGAAACACCATCTTCATTGTCTACAATTCCATCCACAAATTTTAAACCTTCCCCTTGATTCACACCCAGCATTATATCATAGTTAAGGAATTCCCCTTGCTCCATTAGAATCTGAGGGTCATCTGGAATCACGTCTCCATCTATCACAGGCCCAAAGGCAATGTGGTACGTGGCTGGAGTGATAGTCTGTTGAATGAGTTCTTTGTAATTCTTATTCCGCAGGCATTCAACCAAATCAGTGGTATCCAGCATGTCGCAGCCCACTTTATCTGCCAATATCCGAGTGTACTTGGCAGGCTGATAGTTCACTGCCCAGCTGGACAGGGCTGTTCCACTCTGTATGATTGCCTTTTGGAACAAACCTGCAGGTGCAAATTGTTTAAATACAGATCCAATTAGAAATTTTTTAAAAATTATAGAGATATATATATATATTTTAAAAAATGAAAAGTTATTTCTTAGTAAGGAAACAAAGCTTTGATTATAGAATCCTTAAAGAATGCATACAATGAAATTTCGAATCAATTTCTATAGGTCCTACTCAGTGCTCCCTTTTTATGCTATGTAGAATAGGCTACTAATTAAAACCTCTGCTGTTCTTGATGCTCACACATATAAAGCATGAAGGTTTCAGGTTACTGTTTCAAGAACAAAGCTAATTCCTGTACTGCAGTTTTCTTGTGTCTTTGATGGAAGTCCTCTGGCTTTACCACATTTGTAGTCCCGTGAAGATTTCTTTGAAGGACTGGCAGCTAAAAGCAATCATATGCTCTTTGCCATGTAAATGACGCTCATAAATGCGCCTTTCAGTAGTTTAAAGGTCAAATGAAAATTACACGTTCTCATTTCCTTCAGAAAAGCCATGCGTCATACTAACTTGAAAAAACCTGCTCTGTTAAAAGAAGTTTCATACATTTGAATCTTCTACTCTGATATTTTTTATTTACTATTTAATTTTTTTCAATTATTATTGTGTGTGTGTGTTTGCACTGCCTATATGTTGAATTTTGTGTGTGTGTCTGTGTGTCTGTGTGTAACCCTGCCTATATGTTGAATTAAAATATTTTTTAATATGTTTTGTTTTGCAAGAGAGTAAGATGATATTCAATGGTTCTTTCATGTTGTTCTATGTGCACTAATATAAAGAGAAATGAAAACCTAGTCTGAAGAGCTTTGCTTTAAAGCACTGAAAGGCAAGGGAAGCTTGCTTGTGAATCTGCCCCATCTGTTTTGGTAAGACCACTAAAATGGCCTATTTTATATTTAAACTGAAATACTTGGGTGTCTTCTGCACATGTTTTCTACCGTCAAGTTCTCAAGATGAAAAAAGACAGTAACAGCTACCAAAGTATGTGGGTTTTTTTGATAAACCTTTGAAGATCATTACTGAATTCACATACTGCAAAATTTCAATTATTTGATCACTTCAGTTTTTCATGGTTCCATCTGCTTGATTTTGGAATGGCTTGCTCAACAGTTATTCACTGACATTTTTTGTATCAATAGACTGAATTGTCAAGCATAATTCTATGTATTTCAAAATTAGGTGTGTTTCCCAGCTTCCCTGCTATAACTTCTGGCTATGGCCTATCTGTTACAAATTTCTGTCTGTTTTAATGTGACAGAAATGGCATGGATTAATAAATAAAATAGATATTTTGGTGTTGTCTTTTATTAAGTCTTTGTAGATCTGCTCTTATCACCAGGAATATTTATAGTTCTGTACTGTTGCTGTACATTCTTGGAGTTTGGGTTTGGGTTTATTTGGAGGGTGAGGTGTTGAGGGTAGAAATCCCACAACTCACTTACCAAAATCTTAAGAACACTTTGTGAGATCATAGAGTACTTGTGGGGAGTTATATACAGTTTTTTATAAGGCTTAGTTATGTTTTTATTAAGTAAGGAAATATTGGAAGTACAGCCAAGATTGTACAAAAAAATCAAAAAGGTCATTGCTCTTTTCCATTTTAATTAGGGCAAATTCTTTGATAGAAGAGCCAGGGGAATCTGTTGATAAAGCTAGAAAAAGTATATTGCCCATGGCATTTGTTGCATGAGATTTATGCTGTACTAGCATTTAGTTTTCCTAATAAATATATTTATGTTGACTAATACAAATCCAGAATTCTACCTAGTAGGTATTTAACAAAATTACAGACCTCATGTAATTCTAATTCAGTCTACCTCATTTGGCAATTTCACTATGTTTTAAACATTATTTAAAAATAAAAAAGGAAAAAAGTATTTTGCCTAGAGGATTGTTACCTTCTGAATAGTGGGAAAGTGTCAGGAGACTGACACAGGAAGCTCCTGCCCCAGATCCAAAAATAGTAACTCTCTTCGGGTCTCCTCCAAAAGATCCAATATTTTCTTCAATCCAACGTAAAGCTTGGATTTGGTCAAGCAATCCATAATTGCCTTTTGCAGCTTGGTCCCCAGTACTTAAAAAACCTATAAGGCAAAACCCCATAATTTTAGTTCACCAGATACAGTTAGCTACAGGGTATCTACATATTCACCACACATTTTCCCATCTTTTCATCTTCAGTGCTTTTATTTTTTTTCTTCTTTTTAAAGGTCACAGTCCTAGTAAAATGTCTCCAGCTGAAGCAGAGAAACTCATTCTGTGTACTGTTTGAGTTTGTTTTTCCCTACTTCAGAGGTCCCATTCATGAAGAATCACTATTTCGTTTTTGAAATATTTCTTTAACAATGCAACAATACATAAGAAAGATTTTAAACATTTTATAACTGGATGTGAGTTGGGTACAAAATCTTAGGAAATCATTTCTGGGCATAGCCAGTCTATGACTGAGAACAACAATCGCTAACACATTAATTTAAATACTTCTTACCAAAATTGTCCTGAAGTACATAGCCTTTAAAATTTTTGTACTTGTGATATGGATAAATGTACTCAGAAAGAGAAAAAAGAAGGCTGAAGTAAATAGTAAAAGGAACATGAAAAAGCCTAGGAAAAAAAATTACACTTCAGTTTCACAGAGGATATTTACTAGGAAGATAGCTGGTAAATCCATGGCAATATAGCCTTTGGTGGGGAGATTTTATCTGAACAAATCAGGTCTTGTCTTTCTCTTTGGAAATTGCAGGAAAACCTGTGCTGCTCTTTTTTGTTCCTGTACTGTGGTTATCAGATTCTAGAAAAAAAACATGGCATGTTTGTTGCTTGTCTTGCTGCTGAGAACAAAATGACCGTAAGATTAAGACTGAGATTAATTTCAGTTTTTTGAAACCAGCTAAGGTGAAACATTGCAGTTGTCCTGCTGCATATCCCTCACAGTTAAGACCTTGTGTTAGGTCCAAATTACCACATTGAGACATTGGTCTTATCACCAGGAATATTTATAGTTAATATATATATATATATATTAAATATATATATTTATAATATTAACTTATTAACTTATTAATAAGTTAATATTATAGCCCTCTCTTTAACTCCCACAGACCTTTTCCTGTTAGACCACTGCAAAGTTAGAAGTCTATTAGAAATACCTTACAGCATATGGAAGTTTTCAGATGGATATTTAGGCACCAGTGACAGCTGTCAAAGACAAAACAAGGACATTGCTTGGCAGGTTTTTTCCAGCTAAATATCAGTTCAGAAAAATTTGCTAGGAGGGGGACCCAGGACTGAGGAGATCTATGGTCTGGTGCAGTTTGAAACGAAAGTCTGGCACAGTCGTAAGAAGGACAGTAACCATTTCTTTCTCTTCTATACAAATGGAAAAAAAATAAACAAACTATTAACCCATAATAGTCTCAATTTATTTTTTTAATAGATGTGTTTTTCTCTTTTTTCACATGCCTTTATTGTCTTTTTAAGCCTGTCAAAGAATAACCCACTTGCCGGCTTTGTTGCTGCAGCTCACTGCAATATTCTACAATAATCTATAATTAAGGCTTTATTCAATAAAAATTATGATGTTCATTGGATAAAGAGAGTGTTGTAACCTCTAAAGGAGGATGGTAATTAATATTCAGAGCCTAAACCTGCTTTAGTTGTACTAGCAGCGTCAAACTAAAGCTGTTTGAAGTTCATAATTTTGAATTCTTACACAATGTACTAAAAGGTGGACTGGTTAAAACTGCAGTCAATGAATATCTAATATTCAACAGATGAAGAGTGTGGTTTTTTTTGGGGGGAGGGGTTTGTTATGTATTGTTTTGGTTTCTGGTTTTTGTTTTCACAGTTGTCGGCTGATTCTCATTAGTTGCAAGAACAAATTTTCTTAATTTAAAAACTAATCACCATCTCAAAGAGTTAGCCCCACATTACACAAACTGAATTCATAAATCTGTCTTTTCTTGATGAGGATATTGTTTTTCATGCTCTGAGTACCAGATCAAAATATTTCTTCAAAGCCATTTGAAGAAATTCAGGCAAATAGTAACTATTATTTATAGTTACACAACACTTAAGAGTTTTTTTGGTTTTTTTCTATATTACTTTGGTGAAGTGAAAAAACTGCTTCTTTAAACTGAAGTTCCTGAAATAACTTTTTTATTTTTCTCTGACTCTATGAAGGAAAGCATTCAAGAAAAATATTTAGTTTTAAACTACTAGATAGCAATAGTCAAGGAGAAAAAGGAAATTGCTGTGAATTTTCATTTTCTACAACCTTTAAAAATGCATGTAGTCAAAAGCCACATGCTGTCTGTCCCTTGCACTGTTTTGATAATGCAGTGAAGACACAAAGCTACATGCAAGAGTCCTTTAGATCCTACTTAGACAAAAAGAAATCCCTAGTTCTATCTTTATGGACTGGTTTTCCCATATGCTACAGATAATCTTACTGAGATACTAAACCCCAACATACTAGTGGTGATATTTCCCCTTTACTACTAAAACATTATGCAGAGACCCACAGGGACAAGCAGAAGAGAAAAATATCCATAAAATCCACCCAAAGAGTTTACTTTTGTTCAGCTCCATTCATCTGCAGTGCTTGGAGGCCATCTCTACACTAGTACAGCTGGCAGACCTTCACAAGTCAGTCTAAAGAGACCACGTAGACCGCCTGTCCACTGTACACATTTCATGTACTTTCTTTTGCCATGACCAAGCTATTGTCTGGTCCATGGGCTGAATGAATTAATTCTCATGGACATAGTGCATAAGGGGCAGGATATCCTCCAGCTGAGGCTCACCTGGAAGGGCCTAACCTGCAAGAAACTTCCTGCAATGTGAAACAATGTGCCAGGAGTGGTGACAGCACTGAGGTTTTCTGTGTAAAAACACTCTTGATCTGAATTAAAACACTAGTGTGAACATGGTCAGGATCAAAATCATATTTTCCCAACCACAGAACTTAAATGTAACATACACATTTAGGAAGAAATAAAGGCAATGGAGAAAACCCCCTAAACACCATTATGTTAAAGATCGTAAATTATCATCTGAGAACTATAACTTGACCCTTAAAGACAAATAAAATCACCAAGATAACTGCAATTTTGTAACAATTTTGATTTTTTAAATTTATATGACCTTCTTTCTCATTTTTTTAAATTATTTTTAAGAAATAAATTACACAAATTTCCTTTGACATTTTGCACACAGTAATACCCAATATTACATCACTGCAGGAAAAGTCCATTCTTTATCTTCATATTTTGGTCCCTTGAGCCTAATGAATATCAAATCAATTTGATAGCTGGTTGAAAGACTAAATTTCAACTTTGAATGTTCCTCCACTGCTTTGTGCCTTTTCCTCTCTCTCTCCCTCCCTTCTAACACCCAAGCTGTGTTTCCCAGTGGAAACAGGTGAGGTTGCCTTGATGTGTGAAAGCTTGTATTTTATTACTGGCTCAAAATAGTATCAAAACTTAGAACTACATTTTGGTACTGGTAAACTGCACTGACTTTCAGATTTAAATAAAATCATAAATTCAATCAATTTTATTTGTTTTTATTCTAATTAAGAAGGGAGAAGATAAATAATGAAAAATTAAACTTGATTCTACAATGCATTTTACTAGCTACTATAATCAATTCTAAAACTATATCTTGAAATGAAACATACTTTCCTTTGTAAATGAAGTACTTTTGCTTCATCCTCTGCCCTTCACAGGTCTACTTAAAAACAAAATGTTTAACTTCTGAGACATAGCCCTCACACAAAAAATAATGTGAAACTTAGAAAGACACATTAAACAGCCAAGATGTCACAAGAAGAAATCAATCACCAGAAAATCTGTACAAAATCAACATGCTAGTGCATTTTGATCTATTTAAATCCTCCTTTTTAAGCCTCAGCAGCATTTTCTGAGTTCACATTTCTTTTGTCTTTATGCCTTTTCATGACTGCTGTCCAAGCCTGAATAGCCTGCTGCAGTTTGTGAGGTGATGTACAAAGATTGATTTGTACAGCAACTGATCACAACTATGACATAAGCAATATAAATTAGATACTTGAGACTGTGCTTCGGTGTACAATCATGTCTTTTCGTTTACATTTGTGAAGTATCAGAGTAGCAGAAGAGAGTGCTTTTCAAAGCAAAGAGAAAATGGCAAGTATACAGCAGAGCCTTCACATTTTCTGATAGATTTGTCTGTACCTATCATATTTACTACTGTAAAAGCAGACCTGTTCAAATGTAAAGTGAAATTAAGTGGGAATTACTGAGAACAGAGACTACAGTTGGTTCAGGAAGACCCTGAAATATAAATAGTTGGAGAACAGAGAAGCATTAGAAGGTATTATCATATGTTTATCCTATGCTTGTCCTTCCCTAAACATTCCCAAACATTCCCAATAGTATTTGGAGAGAGGATGTTTGGCTGGTTGATAGCTTGATTGGAAACGACCTAACTATATATTCCTTTTTTGTTTTGACTCTATGTCTACTAACAGTACAATGTGAACATTATGGAAAAGCTGGTGGGATGCAAGATAGAGTGATGGTGTCCTTGGCACAGGTTTAGCAGAAAAAAGCCCCAAACTCCTGCAGCATGGCTGGCCTATGCAAAGCTGAGTAAGCATCATGGCTTCACCTGAAATTTCTACCTACAGACTGAAACAAATGAGAGGACTGCTGACTAGCTATGTATGGGTCTGTGCAGAAATAATGTTACACAGATACTCCTTCATCTTGAAAGCAGAACAAGAATGTCTTTCCTCCAGCTGCAAATTTTTTTGAAATTTGCAGGTGTTCTGCCAAAACAAATGTTTTGGTATTCAGAAACTTAAGAAGTAGGATAGTGTGTGATTCTGAAGCAGTGGTCACAAAAGGAATTTCTGCATGCTATGGCTATTTTCCCTATCCAGCTGCAAATAACACTCATTTAAACTTTAACTCAGGTTATGGTAAGTGAAGAGAAGCAAACAGTGAAGATAATTCAGCTTACAGTTTTCATATGAGTTCATAGATTATGTTAAAATATAAAGGACAGGGGTGCTTCTAATTCAATTTTCTAGCTTGGGCTT